CCTTGGTGTTTTCAGACAGAAAATTCAAAGTGTCTTAATTACACAAACATAAAAGAACCTTCCTATGCACAGTAGCCTGGTGTATCAAAATGCAACAAATGCAAACAACAAATGAATTAAAAGATATGTCTGGTAGAGGCACACTTATGCCTGAAAAACTGTAATAAACACCATGTGTTTTCAGAAAAATAAGACACACATTATGATTGGGCTACACATACATATTTCTTAAAGGATGCTGATGTAAAGATAAATGGAACAACAAATGCAAGACACTTATCAATCCATGTAGAGACCTGGAATAAATGTAACAGAGGAGTATAAAATTCCCTTTAGAGTGTCCGATAAACAGGTAGAAAAATATATTAACCCCTCCTGTGATTTGCCCAAGATAACTCTAGCACCCTCCATGTTTCAAAAAATATTTCCTCAAGTTAATTCAGGCAAACCATTACTCATGTATTTTCAATTATGTGTCTGAAATTATTTGTATGTTATCATGTATTACAATCACAGCTTGCTAGATGACATTGGAAATGTTGTTTGAGCCAATCACTATTGGATTTATCTGAATTACGTATCAAAAACTTGAAGAAAGCATTCCTATTCTTAACTGTAGTTTCATTGAAGTAATACATATATTGCATATAAATAAAAAGATATGTAGCATTTATTTATCGAGTATATTTTGTGCAGAAATATAATAACAGGTCATAAGTATAGGCTATCAAAAAGCAAAATAAAAACCTGAAATTTTTGAGCTCATTCCCAAAAAAATGACTGATCCAGATGAACAGGTTAATAAGTTAAAAAAAGCTATCTTGTAAAATCCAATCCACTAACAGCAAATTGAATTTTCTAGGCAGGCTAAATGAATTACTGCATTCACAGCATGAAATGAGGCACAAGAAAAAGGAAGAAATGAAAAAACAAGAGCATCCTCACAAATAGTCATGTTAAGTAAAATTAAACAATTCAGCCAGGTACAAATACATTTTACTGGTGAAAACAACATCCTCAGGACATAACAGTGGGCAAGTAACAGTTAAGGAGATAAATGATGAATGTCAAGAAAGACATTGAAAGGTATAGTAGGTTACCAAAGATCATCAAATGACTGCACATTGAATTTTAAAATGTAAGTAAAAATTATAATAACAACTTATTTTTAAAATGTTTAACTCCAAAATGTTTTGGAGTTGATATTTTGTAACATGTAAAGAAAATGAAAACAATATTCCAACTAAGACTGGGCTTATGTTCTGTAGGGTGTCTACCTATTGACAAAGTTTTATGTTGAAACATTGAGGAATTAAAGCATTTTCACTAAGCACTGGCTGTTTCTCTTCATAAAACAATATTCCAACTTTCATCTGTATGCAACTCTGAAGTCTTGCATGGAATACACTCATTAAATGTTTTTCAGAAATTTTCTACCCCTCCCAAAATATAGGTTTATATTTGCTAAGAATCTATCATTTGTTGAGAATATAACTGTCTACATCTTGTTTCTCACTTGATTGTCCTTCTCTGTTAGTGGTTTCATTACTATAGCCCTTCATTACCACCCTTTTATGATGTCACAGCTGTAGTGTGAACAACTTCCAATGAAGCACAGCTTTGAAAATAGCTATAAACAACGTTTGACTGTGAATAGATAGAGCAAGTTATAAATTATTTATGCCAATAGGCAGTAAATAAATCAGTATGAGCAGATTTATGGTTTCCTGGGAAAGTCTTGGCTCCTTAGGGATGAGAAAAGGAATCTCATAAGAAATTTAGAAGACATGGGAACAAACAACAGATCTAAGAATTTTTAAAAATTTCTTTAAAAAGTTAATTTCATTCTTGAAAATGTTTTCATGTTAAAGTAGATGTGTTTGAAAGCTATAGAAATTTTCTTCAGTGACAATACATCAGGTAAGCTCAGTTAGGTCTAGCCAGTATATAGGCTATAACAAAACATTTCGATGCTTAAGATCCTTATTTATTCAAAAGAAACTATATTTATTACACATAAATTGATCTTGATAATAAATGTTGTTAGCAAAAACCATAATACCAAGTTTGACAAAGGTAACAGTAATGCCATTTGGTAAAATCAGATCCTAAGACACAAATAAATCTGTCAGTTTTTGTTGTTGTGTTTCACAATTTATAGCCAGAATTGGTGACTAGAGCAACTGTCAAAAGAAATATGTTAATGAATATCAATCAAGTTGAAACTGACTAGCTTATACAAAAGAAACTTTCTAATCAATAATTAAAAAAATTTATGTAATGCTAAGAAAAAAAGTATTTTTCAAAACAATGTCTCACAGCTAAAGGTTTGAAACTTTATAACATATAAAATGATATACATAATAACTAAAATTATATGAATGCATTTAAGCCAAAACTAGATATTATTTTACAGTAAATTTAAAAGTTCTTTGCCATTTGATTAAGTATTTGCACTGCGAGAAGGAAAGAAATCAAGTGATATGAGTGACACTCCTCAAGTCTGTCTATTTAACTGCATTAACAAATAGTTCTGTGGCTCTCTTTTCAGTTATTTATCCAAACTTTAGTTTCAATAGGTAGAATTTCCTTCTTCTTAGTGTTTTAATGTTCCTACAGAGATTTTCATTTATTTAACAAACTGTTTTTGAAATAATACACAGCTATTTATCCTGTTGCCTTAATTGAGTCCATATTTTATTCTCTGTATGAAATTATAATGCTTAATATTCAGCTATACTGACTTTGACTAATGGTAGTACAGTTTTAAATTCACATCTTAATAAGGAGTGAATATTTATTTTTCAATTCATTTGTACCTCTCCAATACTCAATCTGGGTACCTTCTTGATATTTAAACAATTTTCTAAATTATGTCTGAAATTCCCTCATTCATATATTGCTTCCTCTTCATTTTTTAAACGCATTTGTAATTAATATTGGTACTAACTGTAGATATGTACATGAATAGCAGTAACAGACATAAGAATGACTAGCATTATCTCCTGTAGCATCTTCCCAAATTTAATATATGCATTCTCTATCTGCTATGATAAAATAAATAGACTCATTTACAACAAGCAACTCAAGATATGAATTGATTTTACATATCAATATTTTGAGATAATCATCAAAACATATTTAAATGTCCTAAAATTAATGAAAATTATTATAATTATATGAAAAATTATTTTGCAAACTATAAGTCTCAATTTTAAAGAAGATAAAAAATACTCCTTTTTATTCATCAATTACCCTATTACAACCAGTAAGTAGCTTTATGATGTCGAGTACACACTTGCATTTCAAAATTTTAAGTAGTAATTCTAACTCTATTTCAACAGTTTTGTTCTCAAAAATGCATAATAACTGATATTTTGTAATGTTGTAAAATATATTTAGTGTAGTTTTAAAGAAACATTTTTAAAAAATGTCTAAACTTTGATTTTTGCATAACTCCAAAGGGTATTGCTTATATTAACGCAGAAACTGTCATCCCTCAAAAATAATTTATCCGTATTTTGTTGCTCACGACTCCTTTTCTGCAAATGATTTTGTTTCTATAACCTTTTATGATGTCATAGTTATGGGCTGAACAATAACTGATAAATTTTAGCCTTGAAACCAAGCAGAATCAATGTCTAAAAATGATTGGATAAAAAAGACTTATATTTCTGAGAAAGCGAGTAAGAAACATTCTCATAAGTGAGACTAAAGGATTCTAACAGAAGTTTACAAAACTTAGGAACAAACCACAAACATGAGAATTTGTTTACAGTTTTGTTTGACATTTTTTCTATCCGGGATAATCCTTTTTTGTTATATCTGTTTGAAAGAAGACATCATGCAAAAATATTTAGAGTGAGTATGGTAAGTTAGAAGTTCTGTGATGGCAAACTACTTAAATGACACAAAAGCTTTATTTTTTTACTTGCGTGTATACCAGTACATTTATTGTTACTCAATTAACACATAGAAGTAAAAGAACTTCTTAGTTGTTGAAAACAAATGATAATTATTAGAGAGAAATTGAGTTGGAAAAATATCACCTAAAGCCTAGGATATGAGTTGAATTGTATTACTACTATTAGTGCTTTATGTTATCTTCACTGCTATGTAACTGCTTCAATAGGTAAAGATAAATAACAAATATAAATGATTGATGAAAATAAAACAAGTTAAAACTCACGGGTTACAAAAAAATGGAACTTTCTAATTGATATTTTAAAAAATCTAGTTTAAATTTTTTCTTTAATATTTTTTTAATAGTTACTTTCACTGTATGTAACAATTTGTATGAATAGAAGAGGAAATAAGTATGCTATTACTAGATCAACACAGACACAACAATTAGTGTTTTGAAAAAAAAAACTATTGGATACATTTACAAGGTTTTAGGCACACAAGAAATAACAGCAACAGAAACTCTAAGATGAAAGGAATTATTTTATGTTTTTGAAAGTAGCTTTTCACAACAAAATTTCAGAAAATTCACAACCTAAAATATTATACGAGTACTAAATCAAACTATATAATTTTTCAAAACACAAACTACAATTATGTAGAAAATGTGTACCAAATTTCATGCAATAAGGTTAACTATTTCAAGTGTAAAAATAAAACAAAGAGGAGTGTCATGTTTTCACCTTACTGATCCATAAATAATTAAATTAAAAGTAAATATTTTTATAAACAATGATTTACAACTTTTAGCTATGTCTCAAAACTCTAACATGTCCTAATCCTAAAAGTTAATAAGAAATATTGTTTGACAAACCATTCACAAGCTTCTGAAATATCATAAAGTTCAAATCATTTATAAACACTCTACACCATTACATCAACAAATGATGATGTTCCCCTCCCTCTTCCACTACAGACTAGCCCTATGAGAAAAAATATTTACATAACAAGCAAAATTAGCATTCTTAGAAAAGGCTGTTTTTAGCACTATAACTATGAGAAAAAAAAAATACCAATAATGAATTAAATATACTTACTAGTGGCTCTCTGAGGTGTAGAGCTAATTCGATTATGCAGTGGACATCAGTTATTACTGGATAATGCATCAAGTAGTTAAGGCTAGAGGTATAATCACCATTCAATACTGTAAACATCCAATGAAAAGTAATTAACAGCACATAACTAATTCAAGTGGTTTCAGAATAAAATAATAATTTATGGTTATCAAATTTAAAGCACTATCACTTGGCTACTAATCTCACTAACCACAAAAATCAATATTGATCAAGATTGTAATAATGATACCTGCTAGTTATTTAACAGCCTATTAACAATCAACAATACACTAATTACATTAATTGCTAATAAAAAATTAGTTATCACATACATAATGAATGCGGCTATGGAATTAATCATTATTAAGATCATTAATCATGTCAGACATCAATCAGCAGTAAACAAGTAAACTATTTTTTCTGATGTATAATTCATCATCATCAGGGAAAAAGGTAGCATTCTCTAGATAAAAAAAATGAAAGCACTGTATTATATTTATTGATATTTGAACCCTTTTGATTTCACATTTGAGTATTTAATTTATTCTGTAAGTCTGTAAAAAACATGAGTGGTTGAACTGTTTGTGCACCTGTTCCTGCAAATAAAAGATGATGCAAGAAATACATACCAGTGTTGGATATCACAAGAAAAAAAGTCATGTACAAAAAAAAAACAAATCCAGCAGTGAAGTGAAATAAAGTATATTTATCAGTATTAGTACAGAAAGACTGTAGATTAGTTGGTTTATAGTTAGATTAACAGAATATTTTAATGTGATTTCCTTAATTTCCCATTATCATTTATAAATATATATATCTCAGTCCATTGGTTTACTAACTCCCCAATGAACATTATAGTAGATGTCATAAGGTTGTTCAAGAAAATCTATACATTTAATTCCACCCACTAAGAGAACTGTTCTGTGTTCACATGAAACCCTAAAATGAAACCAGTCTGACAAACTTAAATGGATAAACAGTCATTACAATGGGTCTTACAGGCCATACTAATAAAGAACATACTTTTTCCTATTATAACAAACCTTTCACATAGAATCCAGACTCTAAGATAGGTTACTAAATTTTTAGAATAATCAGATTAGAAAAACTTACTTTTCTTTAATAAAACCTGGCATTTCACTATATAAATGATTTATCTATATTATAACTACATGTTCAATGATTAAAGTTTTTCCTTTAAGTAAATACTGAAAGTTAACGTTTTCTTACACTGAAAATTTATTTCCAATAGATACCTCTTTTCACACAAAGCTATCTCAACCTTAATTTGCCCTCTAAGCATTGGTAAAAATTTTATTGCTGACAGTGCACCGGTCTTTTATAGCCCTTCATTTTTGTGCAATTTCGGAACATGTGCTGATCTTGTGACTACCCTTCACCAATCATACTGTGCCATCTATACAAACACAGGTAGCTCCCTCTAATATTCTGACACAATCCTCACTTTCAAAAATTGGCAGGTACAAACTAGAAACACCAGCATATCAGTGGGGAGGAAGGTTGGAAAGTGGGTGAGAGGAGTTAAGTGCCTTTTGGAAATACATTTTCAGTGTAAGAAGATGTTAACAGTACTACCTCCCCTCACCCAAAGCTAGAATCCCACGTTGCTAAAACGGAGGGGCCAGTGAGGTGTGATGGTGTGCCATAATATGGAAAAGAAGGCACACCTATGGAGTATAGCACTACTTCTGGAACAAGTATGCTCTTCATCCAGTAACGAACACAGTAACAGTACTACCTCCTCTCACCCAAATCTAGAATCCCACATTGCTAAGATGGAGGGGCCAGTGAGGTGTGATGGTGTGCCATAATATGAAAAGAAGGCACATCTATGGAATATAGCACAACTTCTGAAACAAGTATGCTCTTCATTCAATAACGAACACAGTAATACATACAGGGCAGAATGTAATAGACAAGAACCATAGCCTGAAGAAAGAGATATACAGCACTGTTCTTTGGAGAAGTGCTGTATAACTATGACGTGAAACAGAATAGCATGGAAATAAACAGAATGTCTTGTGTGTAATTGACAATGGGCCCAAATAAAGATAGAGTCTTGGGGCACACCGGAGCATGTCAGTTGCAGTCCAACTGGGCAAAACATCCAGTAAAAATGCTTTGTCTAGGATATTGTGACCAACAAGAGTGATTCTCCCCCTCAAAAAAAAAAAAATTCAGGGGAAGTGTCTTAAATACGTGGTTTGATGAAAAATCATCAGGTAATACAGAATCAGTTCATTGTCACAGATAGTGCATAATTTGTCCACATATGTAGCAAGTGTTAGTATGGGATATAGTGATAGTTAGTTGTAGTAAGGTACCTGATAATTTGATATAAGTATACGTGGCTAGGACATAAGGACTGTAAATTGTATATGAACAGGATAAGTGTGATATGCCCAGGCATAAAACATCCAGGGGAAGTGCCTTGGGATACGTCATATTATGCCAAGTGCAGTCCATCCAGGTAAAAACATCCAGTGGAAAAGCCTTGTATAAGTTTGTAAGATCAACAAGTGTGGACCACCAGGGCAAAACACACCTGGGGATGTGCCTTGGATATATAATATTATGGCCAAGTGTGGTCCAATCGAACAGAAAACATCCAGTGGAATCACCTTGCATAAGATACAGAGATCAACAAGTATAGTTCACCTGGATAAAACTCAGGGTGAAGTGCCTTGGATACATAGGATTAGGCCAAGTGCAGTATGCCCGGCCAAAAAACATCCAGGAGAATCTCCTTGGAATACTATTGGGTAAAGTGCAGTCAATCTGGGCAAAAAACATACAGTGAAAGTGCCTTGCATAAGAAACTTATTTTGTGATCAACAAGTGCAATCAGCCTGGACAAAAACATCTGGGGGAAGCACCTTGGATCTAAAATATTATGTTATTGCATAATCAATAAGTATAACAATGACAGCCTTCTTCTCACTGAGTGGGTACAGATGAGCCGTGAGGTTTCTTTAGTTTATTGCACAAACCCACTCAGGTAGAAACCTCCATGGTCCACCACTCTGGTGACAAGGACAATAAATGGCAAGGATTCCCATGATCCACTAGAAGAAAAAGGGTGGGAGGAATATGTGTTGGAAAGTTCAGAGGTATGGCACACTAAAGACATTGCAATTCCCTATTTTGAAAAGCAGAAAAACCTCGACTGTAAGAATTATGGATCAGTAAGGATGGGCAAAAATCCCCATCTACTTTACTCATGAAGTCCATGAGTGATGGTCCAATATATATAATACAGTGATAATCAAAACATACATATATACATATACAGTACCTGAGAAGTGGCTGGATAAGTCATACAGAAACACCTCATCTCCACAGACAGAGGAATTCTATGGAACAAATAGACAGGAATGAGAACCATGCAAGGAGGCAGTACAAGCCATATAACATAGCAGAGAAGGAACTGGACAAAGTAATTGATTCGAATACAAACGGGAGTACAGGTGGAAAATGGAAGGTAAAGAAAGAAGAGAAAAAGGCTAAACAACCTTCCTGGGCAGCCAATGTCCTGGGATGGAAGGCCCGATTCAGATAGAGGATAACATACAAGGAATGGTAAAGGATGTGGGAAACATCAATGGCATAAATATCGGAATGATGACTGCACGCTAGGAGGGGGAGGAAACAAGCCTTAAAAGAAAGATGGTACAAGGAATACATTGCAATGGGTTCAAAGGGAGAACCAGATAGGGCACGAAGGACAACATCGAGATCCCACTCTGGCAGAACAAAGGGACGTGGTGGATGGACCAGACGAAAGGAATGGAAAAGGAGGGAAACAATTGAGGAAGAGGTTTTCTAGAAGCAAGAGAATGAAAGGTATTCAACAGGGCAGCACTATAATGAGCAACAGTTGAAACAGACAAACCCTGATCACACAACCAGGTGAAGAACTGAGACAGATGAGGAATAGAAGGACGAGATGGTTGGAAGGTATGGTGAATAGGCCAAGGTCTGAAGTAAAATCAATGCCTCTGGTATGAGGAAGGGCAAGTGGTGGGCAAGGAAAGATGCTACACAATGGCTGAGTTTGTCAGATGAGGCAAGGGACCATACAAAAGCCACATGTGAAAATGGAGTTTGGTGATGTTGGGAGTTAAATGCGTCCAGTCACAGTTGTTGGAGGAGCAATCACGACAAGGGTAAGGGCAGGGACCAAAGCAGAGGGAATTACATCTGAGCTGGTCAATACAGAGCAACCAGCAGAACACGACAAGAAGAGGTCTGAATAAGGGAACTGACTCTGGAGAGGAGTCTGATTAGGGTAAGCATACAAGTGAAGATTCTTCCAATCTCAACTGAAAGCATGCACCCACAGAGCTGAGGAGTGAGGAACTAGAGCCCAAAAGGAAGGAAGTTTGGTATTCCAGTGAATGGCAAAAACATATATATATATACACACACACACACACATACATATACATATATATGTATGTATGTATGTGGTGTTCCTGTTGAAAACACACTTATAGAAATACCTGATGATGAAAAGACCACTCCATGGAGAGAACATGGTTGAAATGGGATTTCAAATTTATAATTTGAGAAACATGACATGCTAGAACCATCATGTCCTGGTCATTGGTGTAGTACGGGAGTCCCAGAGTCCGAAAACAGAGAGATCTGGACTTAGCTCCCCTTGCTTGGTGATCTAGCTGACAATAGTGGAATTGTCAGATTGAACCATAACCACCCACCCCTGCAGAAGCGAGAGGATATGATACAGAGCCCGATAAACTGTCAAAGGCTCCAGGATGTTGATAGAGAGAAAAGCCTCCTCGATTGACCACTGACCAAAAATCTCTTGGGAATCTAGTAAAGCCCCATAACCCACCAAGGAAGCATCTGTGAACAGATGAGACTTGGGACAAGGCGGAGTAATGAGAATCTCCAACGTGGTCAAGTCCCTGTTAAGCTATCAAGCAAGGTTGGCTCTGATCCCAGGTGGAAGGTGATAGGATGGTCTAAGGGATTGTAGGAGAAGTTCCACTGGATGAGATACATCCAAAGAAGGGAATACATGTGTGCCCAACCCAAGGAAATG